TATTCCTGAAGAATATTGATCGATTATATGTAAAATCAAGAATTAAATTACTCTATTTATTTACGTGTCCATTTTTCTGTATACGTATTTAGATATTGATGTTCTGGTCATATTTTATTGCTCTTGAAGAGTAAAATGATATAAGATGTAACATAAAATTATATTTTTACTCCTAAAGAGTAAATCCTTACATAATTATTACTGTAAATAATAATATGTTATTACTCCTAAAGAGCACTACATTAAAATTTTTCATATTTCAAAAGAATATTGATCTATTGTTCTTGAAGAAGTAATAGTAAAATATAATGTGACTTCAAAATAGCACATTATGATTTTCATTAATATTCTTGTTAGATCTTACTTGCTCTCGAAAAGTATAATTACATATAATCTAACGTAAATTTTATTTTTACGCTCGAAGAGTAAATTATTGTATAATTTATTATAATAATATTTGATTGCACCCGAAGAGCTTGAATTATAATTTTCAATATTCTAGAAGAATATTGACATTTGCTTTTGAATGAGCAATAATAATAATAATAAAATATAACGTGCTTTTAAAGCAGCACATGTTTCGAAAAATATATTATTTTGAATTCATGTTTATCCTTGAAGGAAAACATACAACTAATGTCGTTAGAACATTAATTAGTTTGAATACTTGAATGATATATGATTATATAATATTTAATCATATTTTTCGAGATTAAATAATTGAACTATATATTATATTGAACCAGAAGTTCAATTTGATTTGATTATTTGGCATGACCAGTCGCACCATCATTGGATCAATAATGATGCGAAATTAAAAAATTTTAATGGATATTAAATGAAGAATCAGAAGATTTTTAAATCCAATGAATTCATATATATTATTTGTTCTCTTTATCGACAACTGATCATTAAATATCGTTAGCTAAAATAGGGATTGAATTTCCTATATTTCTAAAAATTAATTAGAGTGAAATATAGGGCCCCATCACCCACCATGTTAACCATCTAAATATTATTTGTATCTAATAGAAATTTTGCGAAATTATTGCTCAACTTACGAGCATAACTTTCAGATTATATAATCAAGACTATGCCTTTTTAATGTTAGTGGGCATAAATATTAACATTTTAATAAATGTTAGTTGAGATGTCGATAAATGATTTAACATTATTATTTGTTAAATGCTTTCAATTAATTTAATTGAGAATAAACTATTTCCCATTTTTATTTAGAGAATTCTATTATGCATCATGCCAAAATCACAGTTCTCCATATTATAATCAGCTTATGGTCAGATCCTAATTTTTCCATCTAATTATTTTTTATGGTGTAGTATATGTAAAAATTGAACACCACAATACACTGAGAAGGAAAATAAAGAATGTTGAGAATAAGTTCATAGTTTGAACTATTACGGGTGGTATTTTATAACACTGAAAAAAATGATTGTCAATTTGATCGGACAATTCTCTCAACATTAGGGGAGGAATTAAGAAGTTGAAAATAATGTATAAATGCATCATCATCTAAATCATCGCTAAATATCATTCGAACCATAAGTTCAAAAGATAATTTATTTAGATGCATTTATTGATCAAAGAGATCAACAATATCTCACGTACCAATTTTTAATGCTCCAATACGAATTGATGTCTTAGGGAACAATTTGTTAGCATTATACTTGATATATCTATGGCACGCCTAAAACATGATGGTGTTCGTTTCTAATACAAAAATCTTCAATTGAAAAAGGAGCAATTAGCAATGATGGTTTCATTCTCATATACTCTTAATGAGTATTTAGACATAACAAATTATAAAATCCCAGAAGAGGTTCAGGTATCTGATATGTTGAAAATTGAGATATCTAAATAAGTTATGTCATTATGAGAAAAGAAATAGAATCAAACGAGAAAAGAAAAAGTTATCGACAACAATTTTGTACAGAATATATAGTATCATTTGTGAATCGCGAGGAATCGAAATATATCGATCGAAATAATGTTTGGCCAAATAAAAGAAAACACAATCTTAAATTGAATTTACTAGATAAACACGAAATTTTTTGACCTATAGTCCAAAAATTTAAAGGTATATACTCATACGAAAATGAAATGAGAAAAATGAAGTTGTATTGTGTAATGCACGACTCTTAACATAGTGAATTTTGCAAAGATCGTCATGGATAAAATCAGGAGCTTATATCATGTTATCTGGACGATACATGAAATTTGAAATACGTGATAGTCAACTAATCTGACATGATTATTAATGTTATATTTGAAAGATTTATTATGCCTGAAGCATAACTCAAATGATACATGCCCGAAAACTACGTTCTTAGATCATTATATTGATTATTATATTGATTAAAACAATCGAGCGCATGTGGTATAATTGTCTTAGCAAATATTTGTTAAATGAATTCTATAAAAATGACCATATCTGCCTATATATTTTCATAAAGAAACAAATATTGAATTTGCAATTATAATTGATGATTTAAATTTAATTGGAACTCTTGAAGAGCTCAATAAAGCTGCTGGTTATTTGAAAAATGAATTTGAGATGAAAGATTTGGGAAAAATCAAATTTTGTCTCGAATTGCAGGTTGAACATTTCGCAGATAGATTATTTGTTCACCAATTTACGTATACAGAAAAAGTTTTAAAACGTTTTTATATGGATAATACACATCCATTGGTATCGCCTATGGTTGTTCGATCACTTGATAAGAAAAAGAATCCATTTCATCCACTTGAAAATGGAGAAAATGTTCTTGGTTCTGAAGTACTATATTTTAGTGCAATTGGAGTATTAACTTATCTTACAAATTGCACTCAACCCGACATAGCTTTTTCTGTAAATCCCATTGCAAGATATAACTCTATACCTGCTCAAAGATATTGGAATGATGTTAAACATATTTTTCGTTACCTAAAGGGTACTATTGATTTTGGATTATTTTATTCTCAAAAGTCGGGATCTGCGTTAGTGGGATATACAGATATATGTTATCTCTCTGACCCACATAAAGCTAAATCACAAACAGGATATGTGTTTACGCGTAGATGAACAACTATATCATGGAGATCCGTGAAGCAATCCTTGACAACAACATCCTCAAATCATCCTGAAATTATTGCAATCCACGAAGCAAGCCAATAATGTGTATGGTTGAAGATATGACCCATAATATCCAAGCATCATGCTAGTTAACTCCAATAAGAGATAGCTAATAATTTTGTATGAAGACGATGCAGCTTGTATTGCACAACTCGAAGGAAGCTATATCAAATGTGACAAGACGAAGCAGATTTCTCCAAAATTCTATCATACACATGAGTTTCAAAATAATAGCGACATCGATATCCAACAAATTCGCTCAAGTACAATGTTACCGATTTATTCACAAAAGCACTGCCAACATCTACATTTAAGAAATTAATACATGAGATTAGAAAGTGTCGACTCAAGGGTTTTCAGTGATCAACATCAGGGGGAGTAGTTGTACTCTTTTTCCTTCGTTTAGGTTTTATCCCATTGGATTTTCCTAACAAGGTTTTAATGAGGCAGCATTTATTTTTAGTACTCCAAAATAACTGTACTCTTTTTCCTTCATTTGATTTTTTTCCATTGGATTTTTATCAAACAAAGTTTTAACGAGACAGATATTTTATAATATGTCATTCAAGGGGGAGTGTTGTAAAAGGAAAGTTTATTAGGATTTAGAGATGAATGACAATTATACCCCTGCAACCCTAGAAATTATTACTGTTGTATCCCTGATTCTGCCCTATAAATACAGGGTTTGGTCCTTAATAAAATACACACAAGTCTATTGACTTCTCTTTGTTCTCTTCTCTTTTCTTTACTTTTATAACAATTAGGGAGTTATTTGATTTTTAAATAATCAGTTATACTATTAGTTTCCAGTATTCTTAGGAATAAAATTAGTGACATGTATATTCTAAAATTTTTATTTAAAAGAGTTGTGTGGTGTAATTTCCACAAAATCTGGTAGCCCATTTACCTGTGGGTGGGTCTAAAGTTTGGTTTTCGAGTCTCTTACAGGAAGACCCGGGTAAGAATTGCTTTGAATGGCCGGTTGACCCATTCCAAAACTTTTTTGGCCTTTGACCAATTTTTTACAATTAAAAGAAAAGGAAAAAAAATTTCATTTTCTGTTTGCCTTTAATACCCTTATGCCCTATATGATTCAAACGGTCCAAAATTGAAATCAATTTCAAACACAGTTAGCCCAACAAAGCAACGAAGAAGAAGAAATTAGTCTGGCCTTTACCTTGCTCATTGGGAACGAAGAAGAAGAAATCAGTTGGCCCATTTCTACATAACTCTGTTTTGAGGAATTTGTTTATGGACAAAGATGATGCGATAAAAAAAAAGAGCATTAGCAAACCATAGATTTGAGTAGACATTGATTTGAGTTTCTGTACGGTTTTGGAGAGAAATATCTTCTCCTTTGGAGTGGTGGTAGTGTCAGAGTAAGAGATTTGTTTTGTTAAACAAGAAATCAGGTAGTGTCCAATACCTCGTATTAGTTATATAATTGTCTTTATTGTTAGTCCTATTTTTAAGAATTTCAAGAGTAATTTTAGCTGGTTTCTTAGCAGCCTACAGGAGTTGACAACACTTTTCGAAGGAAATTTGATCAAGAGGAGTATTTGCAACGCGTCTGTGAGCGCGAAGAAAAGGTTTTCTAGCCATCACCGGAATTTAATCTTGCTTCACCTTTTTTTTTTCATTGTGAACTTTTCTAAGTCTGCTAGATTAAGGTTTCTTTTTCCTATATTGTAGGAGGAGGCACGATCGAAATAAAAAAGTGAGTCATTTAATTTGATTGGATCTGTTGGTTGTATGCAGTTGTATATGCGAGTAATTGAAAATTACATTGAATTGGTATACATTGCACTAGACATTGAATTTGGGTCTTCGACTTTGAATTACTAAATTAAGATTATAAGTTTTGGTACAGTGAGGGGTCCTCCGGTACAATGGAAACCATTGAAGCACAGGGATTATGAAGTGGACCTTGAGTCTCGATTGGGAAAGACTCAGGTTAGCTACTTTACTTTTTTCAGATACAAGATGCTTCCCTTTATCACGTACCTGTTGTTTTCAGTGAATTTTCTGTTAAATGTATGGTCAATTTGAGGCATGCTTTTGAATGTGTATATATATATATATATTTCCTTCCCCCCTGAGTGCATGAATGAAATTTATGGGGAAGAAAAAGGATTTTTTTGTTTCTTTATCCTTTAGATATTGTTACTTGGTTCATTATTTGCTTTTAATAATGTTGTGTCCTAATTTTTTTAATAGTGAAGTTATGTGTTAAAGACATTTGGATTCAGCACTCTTTTGCACAAGCGTGAGAGCCAATTGGAAGGGAAATTGGTGCAGGCAATGAAGTGAACTAGATGAACACGTGATCAATAATTTGAATACTAAATTGAGATTGAAAATTCGAAGATCCAACGTCTTTGAGTTTTGTTTATTCAATAATCCACCAAGGAAATGAAAATGTTTAATTACCCTACATGGAAAATAAACCCTGTGCAATTAAAATACTAAAACACCCTTAATGAAATAATGAGACCAAGTAACTTAGACATATGAATGCACAAAGAACATAAGTAAAGCAACAACAGCAGCCGAGCCCAACACCTGTGATCTGCCTGACGCTGTGGTCTACTTCATGAGTTTTGGGTGGTTAAGTCCCTCCATGTATGCAAGTGCCATAGACTCTACCGCATCAGGATTTAATTAATCCTTGCATAAAAATGTGCCTTTGATTTGGTTGTTGGTTATTTATCACCCTTACTCCCATACTAGATACGTTAAATATTTTTGTCCATCTTTAGCAAAAATATATATGGATGTAGGCTACTGTTTTTTGTTGCATATATTCTCCTTTTTTGCAAGGACTTATAAGCATGTATATTTATCCTTTTTGCAGGTTGTTACTCCAATTGCACCTCTAAGTCAGCAGGTATATCCTAACTGTATTTCTCTTATATCCTCGTAATCCTCATATTATTATTGACTATGAAAGTTAGGAATTAGGTTCACATTGAGTTTTGTCCCAATTTGGACATAGTGGTAGTCTATTTTCTCTACATTAGGACAATCCTTCAGTTAATAAGTGCTTATAGAGTTCATAAAGTGCTGAGTTTTTCATTCTATTTGAAGTGATCATTACTAATATTTTCATGCCACTTACAGGATGGAGTACATATACAACATCGGTGATAGATGTGATGCAAAGGTCTCAACACGTTGTAACGTGTCAAGTGTGGAGAAAGTATATGATGCATTAGATGATGTTCATAAGGAAATTTTCTTGAATTCGTGCTTCGGTAAAATATACAACATTAGGAATATGAAAATATCTGCCTAACTAATTCACAACTTGTTATTACGACGGGTGGTCTCTGTGAATGAGGATGAACTATGGTTTTGTTTAAGAATGGAAAAAGTTGCCCCTTTTTCTTTGTATCAGTTTATGCTAGTTACAGGATTAAACCCTGCTAATGAGGAGGAGTATTAGAGCCAAATAAATGAAAATGGTAGATTGAAAACTAAATACTTCCCAATATCGAGTAAGGTTACGCCTAAAGAATTAAATGAGGCTTTTGAGAAAGAGATAGAAGACATGGATGATAAATATAAATTGGGTTTAGTTCTTATATATGAGACAATGTTGAGGTCCAAAGAAAAAAAACACATCTATAGATCTTCGCACCTTGGATATAGTTGATGATTTAGAACTATTTAATGGATATCCATGGGGAGCAAAAAGTTTTAAATTTACAATACATGCATTCCTAAGAGTGTCGAAGGATCCAAAACCTAAATATTCTTTGTGGGGGTTTCCACTAGCGATACAGGTAAATGGTCAAAACTTGTAATTTAGGCATTATTTTATTTGATTTTAAATATTTGTAAACAATTTAGACATCTTCTTTCAGGTGTGGGCGTTCGAGTCTATTCCACAAATAGCAAACATGTATCGTACTAGGTTAACTGTCAACGAGCTGCCGAGAATGTGCCGTTGGAAATCAACACTTACTCCTAATTCTCATGATATTGCTGAAGTCTTGGATGACCCACAAGTGAGTATATCTTCTATATTGTAATTACTTTTGCACGTTACCTCAAATATCGCTAAAAGGATTCTTTGTCAATTATTCATCTACAAGTCCATTGCTCATTGACAGCTTTTCCCGATGAGACTGAACAACAATATGTGAATTTATTTGTTCACGGATCTAGAAAAGAAGATCCGATCTTGGATGTTTATCTCTATGAGGCCGGAGGATACCCAAATGTTGATGATGCATTACTAGATGATGATCTAGATCTACCACAAACCCAAAGGGAGAGAGTCTCTCCTAATACACGTGAAAATGATGTATGTATATCTTTAATGCTTTTGTATGATGAATTAGTGCTGACTATATGCTTTTAATTCCATTAGATGCAAAGTTCGGGAACTGCTCGTGTACATCAGCATTCTATTCCTACAAGTCGAAGACCTCCATGCAGCCATCGAGCTTCTTGCGACCACGACGATATGTTGAGACAATTGTTGCACAATGTGGAGAAATTATCCGATAAATATGAAGAGATAAATAAGAAGTTTGATACTATAATGAATTGGATGAGACCAAGCCAACATCTTGACAAAGACTATTCATTTGGGGTTGACGGAGTATTTGGGACGGAGGGAGATAACCTAGTCGACGAGAATTCTATCTTTTTCGAAGAGAACGACTTTAGTCGTTTAAAAAGACTGCAGTCATTTTCCTTAAACGACTCTAGTCTTTTTAAGCGATTGTAGCCGTTTTCCTAACAATACTAATTGTTTATAATTTATTTCGTTTATAAATGTGTAGGTAGACGAACTTCATTACAACAATTTATCGTACTCTACAAACAATATCCAAGTATGCTACTTATTGTAATGTATAATGTAATACGAGGTGACAATCGAACTACTAACATTAGGGATCTTGTTTGGTTTCGACTTATTAGTTCAAAATGAATAAGAAGACGAACTTCGTTACATATAATTCATCTCGCTCTACTTATGTTATAATTCAAGTATACTGTATTTAAATTCTAAATTTGCTACTTACAATAATGTATAATACAATTTGTGGTGAGAATCGAACTTCTAAAATTATAGATTGTATTTGAATAAGCAAAATCATAATGTATAACATTTGAAATCTTGTTTGGTTAGATTTCAAATTATTTCGTACAAAAGTGTATAGAAAAACGAGCATATTAGCAAAAAATGAGATGAGAATTTAAAAAATGACTAAAGTCGTGTTACACGACTTCAATCGTTTTCATGTAAACGACTGGAGTCGTTTAAAGCGACTATGGTTGTTTTCTTACAAAACGACTCTGGTCATTTTAAATTACTCGAGTCATTTTTGTTTTTAAGAAAAAATGATTGCAGTCGATTAAAATAATTAAAGTTATTTTCCATTTATCATTTATTATATGAAATAAAAGACTATGAGAAAACTACCCAATATTCATAAAATATAGATTTGGGATGAATTATGACAAAAACTCATAACATAAAACATAAATTGTAATAACTTGTCATAACATGCTATCAACTAAACAAACAATCTACTAATCCTCCAATCTTCTATTGGCTAAATTATATGATTTCAACTGATTTCGTTCAAAAATGTATAGGAAGACGAACTTTGTTATTACAACTCATCGTGCTCAATTATATGTAGTTTGAGTATATCGTATTCAATCCTAAGTATACCTTTTACAATTGGTTTCGATAAGTTAAAACATCATTTTATAATGAAAAATGTTACAATCAAAATTGTAACCATTTAAACTGTATTTGATTTTTAACATATTTCGTGTAAAAACGTATAGGAAGGTGAACTTCATCGTCATACCCCACTACACACTGTTCAAATATATCGCATTCAATTTTTATGCATACGACTTATATTTTGATTTCGATAAATTCAATCATCATGTATAGTGAAAGATGATATGTCAGTTAAACATCTAAACTTTCAGATTGTGTTAGATTTCAACTTATTTCATTTAAAAAGAAATATAGAAAGATGAACATTGTTTCATACAATCATTTGTGTTTCACTGCACACAATTCTAGTATACCATATTTGATTTTTAATTGCATGATTTACAATTGATTTTGAACAATTTAAACTATCATTTATAATGAAAGAAAAGATGTCTTTCAAACTTCTAACAATTGGTTTTGGCAAGTTCTATATAATGAAAGATGAAAGGCTAATCAAATAAGGAACCTTCTAAACCATATTCAACTTACAAATGTTCTTTATTGTGATCTAAATAGATTTTATGTTTGTCGTAAGTTGATCGTGACCGTGCAAATCACAACTAGAGACTTTTATGAAATAAAAACGACTATAGGTCGTTTAAAACAACTAGAGTCGTTTTTCTCATAAAACGATTGGAGTCGTTTCGAGAAATAAACGACTTTAGTCGTTTAAATCGACTGGAATCGTTTTTCGTCGTTCATTTTTTTCTGAAAATGTTAGAAAGGATATTGTAGTCATTTACTAAAAGGGCATTTAAGACTTTTCAACAATATAGAAAAAGATAATTTAGACATTTTAGCATAAAAGAGCCTTAAAAACTTATTAGGAGTAAGTAAGGCCACAAAAAGTTTTGAAGGGCTTGACTAGGCCTTTTTAAAAAATAGTCCAAGACCCGGCGTCTTGTTTCCATATCCAAAAATTGGGTCACTGAAACTCCGTTAGTCTCTCTTTACCTCTCTCTCTCTCTCTGTCTCTAAAAATGGCAGTCTCGTCTACTTCCTCGTGTCTACACTCCAGAAATGGAATCCATCAGCCTACTCTCAGGTTCTCTCTCGTGGTAGATTTTTTTTTTCCTGCTAAATTTTATATTTAATTTTTAAATTTCGTTTTGCAGTTGTGCCAGCAAAGTTTTTGTGGGTTTAAGAGTTCAATCTCCAAGTCTGTGTTCTTATCCTCTTTTTCCTATAGTTTACTGTGTAAATTATGTTATTCAGGAAATAATTTTAATTTTTCTCTGTTTTATTTTTTAACCAGACTCTTATGGGATTGGAAAATCCAACTTGAATGTGGAGTTTCATAATAAAGTCTACAAAAGTATTGAATCCAGGTAAATTTTTGCTATCTTTGATTCCGGGGTCTTAATAGATGGATTGCTAATTTCGTATTTGCAGTGGATAGCATAAAAGCATGTGTGCTGAAAATTCTATGCAATTTGAAAATTTAAAATTTTTTTTATTCAATTTAAGGGTTCGTTTTCTTGCTAGGAATCTATTTCTCGGAAAATTTGACCAATTTTCTTTTTAATCAATAACCATTGAAGTTAAATAAAAATCCCCAAGGTGTAATTTTTAAGATGCACACTAGTTATTTGAGCTATTGCACAACAGTGAGATTCAAGAATCTAGCTGACAAACAATCTTAATCCATATTCCTGGAATTCAGGAATCCCCACCAACTAAGTTTCGGTTGGTCAATATTTCAAAATTGAAATCTTAAGACTCCATTTGTCAATGCACAGGTTGTATCTTGTTTTCTTGCTCAAATTTCTATATTCCTTTTTGAGTGTAACTAAATTTTAAAAACTGAAGAAATTTGTAAGACACAGATGCGTGGTTTCGAATTGTATATGGGAAGTTTGCTCTGCTTCTTTTGGTATTATGGTGATACTCATGAGAGAAAAGATAAGGCTCGATGGTTTCTCCTTCTCGGAAGAATTGCATTTTGCATTTGTTGAATTTCACTAGTACATGTTCAATGGAATTACACTGCATATCTGAACCCCCTTTGTCGACTTGTTTCACCCTTCCAGGACCTGTAACAGTAAACCAACTCGGGCGCGTGTTGCAATGATGCCTATAGGAACACCTAGAGTGCCTTACAGAAATCCAACTGAGGGAACTTGGCAATGGGTTGATTTGTGGAATGCTCTTGTAAGTGAGCTTGATTACAAAGAGCCGAATAGACGATCAACTTATAGCATGTTTAACTAAGCTTAAGATGTTTACTTATAAGTATTTAAGTTTTAACACAAATTACGTCTTTAATCGGTCAACTTCACCCATACGTGCTCTAAGTCAACCAATGGAAAATTTTGGATGTGTGATTTCAACTCATTTTGGTGTCTTTGTGCTTTTAAAAAACTTGCTGACCTCATGAACTGCAGTATCGTGAACGTGTTATTTTCATTGGACAACACATAGACGAAGAATTCAGCAACCAGATACTAGCAACGATGTTATACCTAGACAGTGTTGACAATTCCAAAAAGCTTTATATGTACATCAATGGCCCTGGAGGAGATGTAAGTTCTTCGAAACTAAAATATATGTTTTTTTAGCTCTTCGTTGAAATGTCCCATATGCATATATATATATATTTTTGTCATATTTGCAGCTTACTCCAAGTATGGCTATCTATGATACAATGCAAAGTTTGCAAAGTCCTGTTGGAACCCATTGTGTGGGCTATGCATATAATTTGGCTGGCTTTCTTCTTGCTGCTGGTGAAAAGGTAACGCTCTCTTCTCCAAAAATACAATGTGGCAGGTTATATACATTACTCTTTGGAAGGATTATAAAGAGTTCTACGCAACCTTGCTTAAAGATTACAAATATAGCTATTGTCTGATCAAAATAACAATATTTTGATTTACTAGAAGTCTAGAACTTGGACATCTAATTGCGGGGTTCTGTTTGTTTCTTGCTCTAGTTTTTGAATATAATGATAGACCTGTACCTGGCTTTGTAATGACACCACGTGCATAATTGTTTGGTTAATAATGAAAGAGTAGAAGTTATTTTACAGTGACCTTTTGTTTTCAAACATGTTTGAATGACTTTTTTTTCCTTAACTTTTAAGTAGAATCACTTAGTTTGAGAGCAACTGTTAGCTTATTGTCAAAATAAGTAAATTACTCGTTTCCAACACTGGACAATAAAAAACTATTTATTTTCAACAGACTTGTGTTACGTAAATAAAATTGTTAAGCTTTGGCAAACATGCTCTATCTTCTATAGTCTATTTTGGCATTCTTTCATGTTCAGGTACTTGGTCATAGCCTCCTGATCAAAATATGTGGACTTAATTGACAATGAAAGCCGGAACTGTATGTCTTGTTGGTGTCACCTGTTTAACAATCTTTCATTTTATGAAGGGTAATCGCTTTGCAATGCCTCTTTCAAGAATCGCATTACAGTCTCCAGCTGGAGCTGCTCGTGGTCAGGTTCGATCATACTTATTCTTATCTGTTGAAGAGTGTTTTAATTACTTATACTTGCTGCTGGTTATTTATCGGGAGCCATTTTTTGGCAGGCCGATGACATTCGTAATGAAACAGATGAGCTTCTCAGGATAAGAGACTATCTTTTCAAGGAGTTGGCTCAGAAGACTGGTCAGCCAGTTGATAAGGTATAAACTTCTACTTCGGAACTCCGCGTCATCATTCTGATTGTCCTTATATGTGTAGGCTTTTGCTATGGCTTGCTTGCAAAAACCTGTAACGTGATGTGGGCACATGTTATGGTATATTTATGCTTTTTTTTTTTTTATAAAATCAAATTTAAACATTAATAACTGCATTAAATCATCAGATAGATGCAAATTAAGCTTGGAACAAAGAAAAAGGGTTAAAAACACTGTCAGTCTCCTAACTTGTAGTATTGTTTCGTTTTAGTTACTGAACTTCTTTTGTACAATTGTACCTAATGACTGAATTTTCATTTGCTTCAGTTTCGACACTCCTGATCTCCGTTGGATTAACAGAAATATTGACATGGCTAATGAAAAATATGATGTGGCATGAAAAAACCGTTATTGCATGTTTTGTCGACCAACCGGGAAATTCTTTTCCTTTTTTTATTTTTCTTTTATTTCTTAGAGACTCGAAAAGACGATTCATTTATGCCTGCTGGGGGCAATAAACATGATGCACCCGACGGATTTTTCTTGATACGCTATGGCTTTCTTTAGCTACATCAGCATTACCATTAACTCACAACGTGGGTGACGAACAATGTTTTTAACCCAAAATAATGCAATTATCAGGAGCAGAATTTGTTGTGTTTATAATATATAAAAGGATTATATAGTCACTCCATATCTTCAACATATGTGTTGAGTTCTTACTTGAAATATTCAGATTCACAAGGACTTGAGTCGGATGAAGCGTTTCAATGCTCAGGAAGCTCTCGAGTATGGCCTCATCGATCGTATAGTTAGGCCTCCTCGTATTAAGGCCGATGCACCAAGGAAGGATTCTACCGCAGGTCTCGGTTAGTTCATTTGTTAATTATGACAAAAAGCCTATGGGTGTTAAACAGTTCCAAATTCTTGGTCATTAACAAGGTTCATTTGTTAAGGTATGCCAGAAAATGTAATTTTTCGAACGTCTTTTTTATGTTTAACAATACTCTCTCCCAATGCTTGATTGAATGATGATATTTTCTCTTGATTACATTTTATATGTTCTCTCCTCGTTGGCCCACCACTAGTGAATCTCGACTTTGTTCAAGTTATAGTCATGGGGTCAAGTGTACGGAGAGTAAGATATAAAATTATCATACTCAAACTACACTCGAGATAAAAGCATCTTCAATGCGTCCTATGCATCGCAATTCAAGTGGCATACAAGTTGAAGGACTTGCAGTTAAGGCGGCATTGACATCTAATGAATACGTACAAAAAAATTGGACTTCAATTAACTCATTTTCTAGTTTTACCACACAAATTCAGTGTGTAGAATGTGCGAATGAAAACACTATTAGAAAAATCATGAATTTGGATGTATTAAAGAACCAAGAATGGATAAAAAGACTCAATGGCTTTGTAAATTACACACCTCAACATTCTACAACATGATCATAACGGTAAACATGTCGATTTGAATGCACTATCTAGCTAAGTTACTGCACAAACCTCGCCTGTATGCAGCATGTTGGCACTAAGTTTACAAACGAACAACAGATGAGTGATAAGACTCGTTAAGTAGGGAATCCATGAATGGGGTTTGATGCCAATTGGGTTGGTGAGAGAACTGTTAGCGCATATTTGTTATGCGGTATTAGACAATGAAATGGAAAATATTTCTAGTTCGTCCAATCCACCTTCATGAACACGTGATTAGTGATTTAGGGTAACTAATCGGGCAAAGATGCATCGACATCAGTAGGTTTATTCGTTGAGTTGGGGCCCATTGACGACCAGCTATCTCCACGGAGAGAAGAGTTGGTATGATAAAGTTCTTCCGCCCTTGCGCTCGAGATAGGAATAGCAGCAGTAGGTGTAACAGCCGTCGACTGAGTCTTGTGTTTCTTTGTCTTCTGTTCGTGCTGATTCCCCACCAAAAAACTACCAACCACGATCTAATTCAGGCCACAACGCAAAGATTTATCAGAAAATGTACGAGGTAGAGGTCATATTTATTAATTATGGTACGAGAAGTTTACTAAGTTGTGTGTTTGGCTAAGCTTAAACAAAAGTAACTTCTACACGTCTAAGATAAAACAAAAATCAGACGAAAGCATACCTGGGTGGGACTGGCAGCAACCAGTAAACCAGCAACTCCACCCCCAACAACACGCCCATCGGGGCTAGCTAAAGAAACGCTCATACCACCAGATCGGTGCCTCGTTCCTCCAGTCTCGGAAGGCATAAATGATCCAGTCAGAGATAGTATCTCAAATCGACCCTAAACAACAAAAGAATTACCATGTCAAATGTTCCTGTCGATGGCAAACAAAAATAATACTGTAACTGAACATTACTAGCATCTAGCAAATGTGCCCGGATATCAAAAAAGAAGATATGAATACAGAGTCGGCGGAAGACTAAACTAAAGCAAAAATTATTGATTCAAGTACCTCGTATGTCAATGTACCACCTGAAGAATCAGGTTGACGAAGAGTTACGCTTGAAATCACTCCATTAGCTGAGAGAATGCATATCGCCCGAGGACCTTGTTGAGAGAAAGATATGACCTTCATCATGACATCCTAAAATGATCAAAAGTCATTGTACATTCTATGCAGGAGATTGGACGTTAATGTGAACGGGAGAAAAGTAAATGGAAATTAACTATAAAGCGGAACTGAAAACCTAAATGCAAATTCCAGAAAATTACTTTTCCATTGAGCAAAAAGTGCTAGAAAATTTTGATATTTTACCTCTCCAGCATTGACAGTGATAATATGAGGTATAAAATTAGCGCCAACAGAACATGAAACCCATTCACCTATAATGAAAAAAGATTGAAGATTAGTAAATCTCGGGGAGACGAGTTCAGCGCAAAAAAGTATAATAATAGGAGGAAAAAGGAACACTTGGGCCCATGAAGAAAAAGGACGAAAAACATTACTTCATGAACCTGATCTTCATGTACCAATTATATGAACTCGAGATGAACACATTCCATAGCAAAACCATGAACTCGTGTCAATCTGAGTCATCTAGTTAACCCGGTGTTCAGCTATAGAGAGGGCAAGAAAATGGACTGTGTGTGTGTGAGAGAGAGAGAGAGAGAGAGAGAGAGTTTTGGGCTCTCAGCCAACAATTCATGTTAAACCGTGTCATCTGAAAAACTTAAATTGTTAGAAAAATGACATAATGTCTATGTTAAATCGAGTCATCTAAAAGCTTAATGGACTCAACGAGAGAGAATTTTGGATTGTCAGACAACAATCTATGTTAAACTTTCTCATCTAAAAGTTTAAATTATTCTAGAAATGGCACAATTATTTAAACTTCCGTCCTCACGCGCAAGCAGAATTCACTTTTTTGTCATAGGCTCGACAAGTATATCGTTATCATAAATGACTGGAAGCAAGGCTTGATCTCAGGGGCATGGAATGTGGATTTTTTCCACTGGAGAATCAAATTGTATGTGTTCTATGAAGCGAACATTAGACTCTTAGGAAAAACAAACAAAAGACACTCTAAGTCTGAATAACAATTTAGCCACCCCGAACTTGAAACCCCACAAACCCCACGAATAGTGAATCATCAACGATCTTTTCGTCCAAGTTCAGAAGAAGTGACGTGGATTATTCAACAAAGTCGATTATATATATCCATTGCTTTCGCACCAAAAATCCACATGACTATCAAAACTACCCATTTATGACAAGATTTTAGTTGGGGCATCAAATTAGAGGTCCCATTTCTTCACTCAATTAAAGAAACTAAACATCAATACATAAAAGAATGTTTAATCAACATGCAGGCATTAACACTAAAAACACACACTGTTCCATATAGTAATGCACAGTTATATTGCAATTACTGAATTACCCAAAATTTCGGATTCCGTTATAGGATGCTGCGCCGGCCGGAGTTTTCCGCCCTTCTCCGCAGCCGAGAAGTCAATCATAGGCGCAGGGGCAGAGGAGGAAATCGGCTTAGGAGTGAGGGGTTTAGTGGCAGAGCCATCAGGGGTATACTTCCTCGGCCTACCCCTCTTCTTCTTCTTCTCAATGGTGGCGCCAAACACTCCGGCATCGGAGACCGCCGGCTGAGGCGGCGGCGCTGATCCAGTAACCTGAATTGGATTATCAGTGGTCCTTGGAGCCACGTGATAGTCTGAAGGAGCATCTGATCCCAGTCCCACCACTGTGATTCCACTGCTACTTATGGTACCTTCTCTACTTTCCATACTTCAAACTCCAAGAACAAAAATTCCCGTAAACCCTCAAAAACCCATGAATTTTTCTTGATGAAAAACCCCAGAAATTATAAAAAAAAAAATTTAAAAAGAAGGAAAAAAAATAAATAAAAAAAGCGATTTAAAGGTTATCCCTTAACAAGCTTCTTTACGTTTTTACAGAACGGGACAAAAAAAAGGTGCAGAAGATCAAACTAAAAAAGGGAAAATTTTAGTGGGGCTGAACAAGAAAATTATGGGAAAAAGGGATTGCAGTTTTTGGAGAATTAAAACAGAAATATTGAATTTTTGGGGTAAGAAAATGGGTAAATACAGGTTTGGTGAGTTAGCTAAATTTTAGCCTTTCCTAATTTTCCTCAGATTGTCCGAATTTGTAATTTATAATTTTCAAATAAAGTGGAATAAAAATATTTGGGTCCATTAATTGTTGATTATTTAAAAGCATAGAAAATTATGCAGTTTGGTTAATTAAAGTGGTTGGAGTCCGGTAAGAAAAGAAAATTAAATAAGTAATTGTAGTTGAGAAAAAAAGTGAAATTAGGTTGCCAAGCAATGAAGGCATTGAATCTCCTTTATATTTTTAATTTAAAAGGAGAAAAAAATAATAATATGTATGTATATTGGAATCTCAAGAATTTAAAATAGTTAATTTATGAAGTAACCTTTAATTTATGAATTTTTTTCATAACTTATTTAAAGTTGTGCAAAATTTTACCCCGTTTATCTTTTCCTTTTTTTACACCCTGAGCCCCTCTTTTTAAGAATGTATTTTTTCAAATCTCATTTTTAACCATACATTCTCACATAAAATAATTATACACGTATTTTAAAATTTTTTCCTTACTTCTTAACCACGCATTCTTAAAAAAATTATTTTTCCATAATACATTCTAACCCAAAAATAGGGATCAAATAGAGGTTTAAATGTGTTACGATAGTTAGGGCTATCAATGGATTGAATTTTGATTTCAAATCCGATTCAAATCCGATGATATTAATGTGAGATGGATTTAGCGTCTCAATCAGATAACCTGATTAATATTTGAATCCGATAATCCGTTAACTAAATAAAATAAATATAGATGTAGTCATGAAGGTCAATCAAATCCGATAACAACCCAATCTGATTTGTTATAATAATATAACATATTTTATCTATTATCGTATAATTTATTACACATACTTTTTTTTCATATTGAAATTTGTATTATACTTTACAAGTAATTTTTAAATAATAAATAATATTAGATAATAGTATAATATTGATAAATGAAATATTTCGAAGAGTTTTTAATTTTTCGTTGATTAAAATAAGATAAAATATAATTAATTTATTTTATAAATTAAAAAACGAAAGGGGCCTACAGTTGGAGTTTCTTTCATTATTTCAACTTCTCACTTTCTACATCGATGATTATTCTTATCGAATCAGATGATTATTCTTATTGGATCGGATTGGACATCGACAGATCCGATCCGATCCATGTTTAATCCATTTACAGGGTTTAGAAGTTGACTAATATAATTTTTTTTTATCTTTCTAATTTTTTCAATTTCAGATTAGATATCCGATAAAATAACAAATCGAATATGGATTTAGCAATCAAATATTCAGTAAATTATCAGATTAGATGATTATTTTAATTGGATCGGATCGGACATGGGCAGACCCGATCCATTTAGAATAAAGTCACTTATCCTAGCTTAAAAATTGGGGCGAAGAGACACGTTGATGTATCAAAAAATGATGAGTCTTTTTGTTTTAATTTTTCAAACAGTCAAAATCATATGTCGACATGTGTCCCATTTGAATTTGAGTTTGAATGTGTAACATGATCAATCCATTTATTGTCCTATCAGTAGTGATACATGTATACAATGATTTACACACACATAATGTGGTGTGATATGATTATATAACCAAATAAAAGAGAACGAGTTAATATACAATATGTAAATATACTTGAGAATAAGTTAAGAGAAAAGTTAAAAGACAAGACTTTTTTTTTCTTTTTTTTCTTTTTTTTCTTTTTAATTATGACAGGGGAACCAGCAGTCGCTACTATTTGGATGCGCACTGGGTAAATCTTCGGACTGACGCAATAGCCTGCAAGCCACGTCGGTCAGGTAAATCGCACTAGGCAAGCTTGGTGTAATAGGTTCGATCGAAAAAGTGTTGATTTTTACTTTTGTCACGTACGATTTAGTTATGCAATACTTTACGAAAAACTACTTTTAGGGGGTGTTTGAGCCACATTATTTTGGTAATAATGCATTCTTGAATAGTGTACTTATGGGAAATGTGTTGTTAAAAAATAAGGAAAAACTTTTGATTTGCGTGTAATATTATTTTATTGAAGAATGTGTGGTTGAAATGATGTCAAATCATTGTTTAAGAATGCATTTTTTTGAAATAATGTGGCTCAAACAGGCACTTAATTTATTGTGCATGATTGCACGAATCTAATGGAGCTTTATTTTGTCACTCTCTGTATAATGAGTTGATAAATTTCCTTAGAAATAAAAGCTATGACTACATTGATTTTAAATTTATTTTTAAGAAATATCAGTACTATCTTACATAAAAGAATAAATTATATATTCAAAATATAAAGTAATAAATTTAGTATAATGAAGACTACAAATTAGGTTTTAGAAAGGGACAATGGACTTTTGAAAATATTATATAACATAAATTGATATTATGGTGAGTGAATGGAACAATTATTTATCTGTATTCTTTCTTTCCTTATTTTCTTCATATTAAATCTTTTAATACTTTGTCACCGTTTTATTTTTATATTTGTATAATTTATATTATCCTCGCAAAACAAAATTGCTTAATATAAAGTATATATGGTACATTAATTTAGGTATTAGATAAGATCAATGGCCTTATAAAAATAATGTAAACATTGATTAATAAGATGGCGAGTGAGTGGACAATTATATAACTATTTATTTATTTTTCTCCTTTTTTCTTTAGGTATTTGATAAGGACAATGGCCTTTTAAAAATAATGTAAACATTGATTAATAAGATGGCGAGAGAGTGGACAATTATTTAACTATTTATTTAGTTTTCTCCTTTTTTCTTTAGTATTATATTAACAAAATCTATTGTAACCATACCCTATTGTTTATATGTTTTTTATTTTTATTATATTTGAATAAATTGAACAAACTTTGGTTTGGGATACAATATCTAGCGTGCAAGTTGTAGCAAAAGAAATAATTAGCTGGAAGCATTTTAAATTGAATTTGATAGTCTCAGATGTCGATACAATTTTCAGTCCCTCCAGCACCACTATGCATTTTTTAATTTAAAGGAGACGTGCGATCTTAGATTATTTTCGCATGGTTGCGAATCACCTCACCTTTATCATTATGTAAAGAACCCACGCTAAATATTTAATTTCGTTGAACTTTAGTTTTTACCATTTGATTTTGAGAATACAATAATAAAAAAATCACGAAATAAATTGACCCCAAGCCTAACCTATAGAAATGAGATCTTGAATCTTATTTTTGTTTTCTATCCCTAGTGATAAAATATTTTGTTGATATATTAACAATACATAATTCGTATGTATGCTCAATAACTTAAGAAAATAATAAAACTCGAATTTAAACCATATTGCATTAAGTTAAATTTTAATTAAATAGTAGGAGGTGGTTGGGTGGTTTCGATAGGGGATGCTCAGGGGAAGAAGATGATCTATTTGTTTAGCTGTTTTTGTCCCTTTTTAATTTTTTTCACTTATTACTTAAAGGGGAGGGTAAATTCATCATTTTCTCGAATTTAAAAGAAGATGGAAGGACGTGATTTGTAATTAAGTAAACTGTTGGGAGATGTCTGATACTAAAAAAAAGGTTGAGCATAAGTTAGTAATAAGTTAGTAAGTCAGAGACGAAAATTGCAAAAAGTCCTGCTTTACTATTGAAACTTGCTCCATTTTTAATTTTTTATCAATATGGTCCCCCCCACCTCCCGCTTCTTTCGAAGGTTAACTATTTACTTAGCCCCTTTTTAGCCCTGTTAAATTTTATTTTATTTTTATTTTTCCTATTTTCAACCACACAATTTTTCATAAAATAATGTTATACGTAAATCGAAAACTTTTCATTCTTTTTCAACCGCTCGTTTTAAAAAAAAAAACACTATTTCATTCATTTTCATTTCAAAAAATGGAGGCTAAACGGGGGCTAGTAAACTCTTTTGCTTAGCCAAACATGTTCTCAACTTAATTCAAGAAAAATTAACTTTTATATTAAATCATCAAAATTCATAAAGTATAATTATTTAAAATTATTCGTTAATACAAAAATATATTTCTTAAAATTCTTGGATTATCCGCAAATGAATTGGTAGACATGTTATAGAAATTTGAGTAATCAAAAAGGTTTACCCAAAAAGAAAAAGGAAAAGGAAAAGAAAGTTTCTAGTACAAAATAATTTGTTTATTTTGTTATAGACAGAAAATTAGCTCTTAATTAATTCTTAAGAGCTTGAGAATTCATTAACCTCAAATTCTCGATATTTTTAAGAATACCCATAAATATTTTAATACCTTTGCTTGTACTTCCTTTCTATGTGGGCTTGATGCTTGTAGTTCGAAAATGGTATTAAAATCAACCTTCAATATCGCATAATTTAATATAATGAAGTCAAAATGAATAATGTAGTTGATTATTTGTGGCGTATGATGGTGCGATCACTTCTTTCAACTCGTAAGCAAATTTGGTGCCATCGACAATGGTGATGACAATGTGAGATATGGTGGTGGAAGGAGGTGATGGTACTAGGGTTGGAGAGAGAGACTATTGGTCGGTTAAAGATTGAATGAGATACAATTAGTTTCTCAATCTCTTACTATCAGGGTAAATATAATTCAATCATAATTAACTATAATATAGATGATTATTTGTACTAATAAGGGTAAAATTGATTTTTTTCCATAAAAATGATGACTTTGGCGTAATTAAACCTAACAAATCAACAATGGAAAATTCGAATCGCCCGGTATTGGATCCCAAACCAAATAAAGTAAAATGAAGTTCAAAAATCGAGAGAGCTCCATATATAACCAATCAAATCATCAAATCCTTCATATTCCTATCGCCCCTAACGCTACATAGTACAAGATCGAAATTCGTGTCATATTATTTAATGATCTTCTCACAGCCATGTTTGTGTAGTTGAATTGTCGGGTTTGATTTGAATTTTCTTTGAATCGAAGGTCTGTCCCATTCCATCCCATTCCCGTTTATTATGTGGTCAACGAACTTTATCACGAACAATCTGCAATCATGCTTGAACAAATTGATTAAAATTCATGTTAATTATTGCCATATAAATAGATAAACAACATCCAATGCTAAATCAGAATGTAATAAGCTATCCATACTAGGACAATGAATTTTGAAAAAATATGGATTCCCATATTCATGGTGCATGTGTCAATTACATTACATGGTTCTTAAATTAATGTATTCTGCATTAAATCTAATAACATTACATAAAACGACTGGTATAGTCAGAACATCATATAGATAGGTGATGAACCTTCAATAAAAAAAAATTTGTATTTGTCACAACTTCAATTTAAAACCTCCATATATTCTAAAATCATACTTCACCACAAACTGAAGAATATGTAGCCCAGAAATGGTGACAATAATCAGAGATATAACAAAACATGATTTCACTTAGGGGTGCCGCCCTGTTTCTCCCGCCCCACGCCCCGCCCCGCCCCGTTGGCGGGGCAGTTTTCTTGCCCTATTTAATTTTTTTTAATTTCGTGTTTAATAAAATACAGATAACATTCAAGCAAACAAAGGTAATATCCAAAATAAACACTACAAATCTTAAATATAATGGTCGCTATTGGTACACAACATTGATTATTATGATGAACAAGATTTTTTTGTGCTTTTTCCTTTAATATTGTCACAAAAGTTGTAACCCCACACACTTTAATTTATTACAATATATAGATTTTCAAATTTGTTTACTTGAACATGTTATATCTTTTTATATTTATTTTTATCAATATAATATCAATTTGACAAAGTAGCATAATGGTATATATAAATTAGTCAAGTTTGATAAGACTTGTACGATTGAAAATACTAGAAAATAGGTCACATCCTTTTATTTGAAATAAGTTAAACCCTAACCTTTTAATATTAAAAAAAAAAAAATTTACGGGGCGGGGCATCCCCGCTCCGCTCCCAGCGACGGGGCGACCATTTATGCCCCGAGTGCGGGGCGGATTTTTTTTGTCCCATTTGGGGCAGGCCGGGACGGGGTAAATTACTATCACTAAATGCACTAATCTAGGATACGTAATTTAACATGTTATATGTCATCAAACTCAATTTTCGAAGGTACTTACCCATTGCCGTCATGTGGAATGTCATTTTCAAATGACATTGCTCACTACTCATACTAATTCCATGTGAGATGTATTGGTATCAAGAGCCATTGAAGAAGTTTCAAGAATGTGATTTTGATTTTTTTTTTTTTTAAATTCGAACAAGGGTCTTGTAGTATTTATAAATAGGTAATAACAATAAAAAATAACAATCAAAATGGTTGGTGTTTGATATTGTGCTGATTACACTACGTTTAAGATCTTTAGAAGATCAATCCTTCAGTTTAGTTGAGATGTCTAGTGGATGTTTATGGAGAAAGAAACGATTTGGGAGACCTGTTTTTTTTTTTTTTTTTTTTTAGTTGTTTTGGAATAAGAATAGACATAATTTTAGAGAGTTTGGTGCTAATTTCCTCAAGTTAATGGCGTATTTGTTGGGGGCATGAATTAAGGGCGTGTTCATTGGTCTATAATTTAAGGGCGGGTTTTTGATGGAATAAATTTAGCATCATAAACGATACTTGTATTATATGTTTAACTTTTAGCATTTCTTTTTTACTATAAAAAACCAGCATTTATAGCAAAAAATAAGTTGACAAGTATCAGTTATTGTCTCCTAAACACCGGTGTTTAGCTTCTGTTAAATATCGGTGACATGACACATCATTTAATTGGTGAATAAGTTAATGTTAGATCTTATGTATTCACCAATTAAATGGTGTGACATGTCACTGGTGTTTAACATAAGTTAAACATCGATATTTAAAAGATCATTTCCGTGACAAGTATAATCTAGATATTTATTTAAAAATAGATATGTGGCATAATTTCTTCAAAAAACAAAAAAGGGGTCTTTGCACGAAAAAAGCCCATTTGTGGGGTCCAATCCACTAGTTACTGGACTGAATCTTTGGGCATAAACCCATATAAAGCCCAGGTAGAGTTCGACGTCGTATACTCCTTTTATTTCGTCCCCCATCCATTCGCAAAGCAGAACACAATTCTTTGAAAATGGCAGCACGCACTCTCTCCACAGCCCCAAATCGAATAATCCGACTCGAATGCAACCATAACAATCCATTTTTACCTACCTGGAATACTCTCGGACTACCCAGATTACAGAATTCTTGGCTTGGCATCATAGCAATCAAACTCTCGATCAATTTCATCAATGTCAGACCCTTTTTACCGAAGTACCCTCCCATCAAAGCCACTGTCTCCTTCAGCCTCCCTACTGCGTTAGTCTGTTAACTTTATATATATTGTGTTTGATGTATTAATATGGGATTTAGTTGTAATTTGTACAAGCTCGCATTCATGTTTTGGTTGCTTTTACTTTATATAGGGATTTTATATATAGAGTTTATATCATATGGATTGTTGTTGTGTTTAAGATTTAGTCCGTGGAATTATAACCAATTGGCCATCCTTCCTTTTTTAAGAGTGTATTCTCTTCAACTAACCATTGGTATAGAGGACCGGGAGAAGATGGGTTTTATGAAGCCAAGCAATTGGGAATAGGCGTCGTAATAGACTCGTTACGAAATGAGGATGGAATGTAATGACTATTGCAGGTCTATAAGCCACTAGGGCACCCTTCTCTTGGGAGCTAGTTTTAATTCTGAGTTCTGTAATTTGCTTATAATAAATTTGAAATAATTTGTTCACAAAGGCAAGCCCAATGCTAGTATATAATTCCCTATCCAAATGTATATTGTTTACTCTTGCTTGAATTTATGCTGACATGTGCAGATGCTGTCTAATCTTGATGGATTATGAGATACAGTCACAATCTCTCAATGTATTACGAGATTATATGTTATGTCGTATTGATCTACATTTAAATCCTAAGTGATTTTGCCTGTTAGCCTATTCTACATTTGATAATTTATGCTATAAAGTTGGAATATGTGAATTTTGTTTATATACATGCATAGTGTTACACTTATCCATACTTGATGGGTTCGAAGTTTCGAATTGAACGTAAACCTGTGATCTACTTACTTGTCCTATTTATGAAGCAGTTGAGGTTTTTGTTCGTCTTGCAGAAAGCCAGAGCCTGTTGCTTCCACTGAGAAAATGCCCAAGTGAGTTTTCAGTTCTGTATTCATTTTATTTTATTTTTCTGGTGGGGTTTTGGAGGTCAGTTGATAAACCCGTTTGTTGTTTATAGTGTGTTTGTTTAATCGGTGTGGTTGGTTGGAATTGTGGTGCTTTGAATTTGGTTGAATGGAATTTTAGATGGTCGTCAAAGGCAATAAAGTCATTTGCAATGGCCGAGTTGGAAGCAAGGAAGATAAAGTCCCCGACCACGGGTACTGAAGCTCTTCTCTTGGGGATCTTGATTGAGGGTTAGTTGATTTTTTCTTCCACAAATTTTCTTCTTATTTTTATTTTTTTTAATTATTTTTTTATTTTTTTACTAATTATTATTATTATTTTTCTTTCTGAATGCATTTGGTCCACTAGTTCAATATATTTATTGGAATTTTATTGATCAAGTTTGAGCACATTTTTAATTTTGGTACTTTTCAAGCTCTGATCTCTTCGGAATTGTTTACCTCTCCTTATAAATCAATGAATGGCCTAAAATTGGGATAGAAATGATAAGATGATATGAGAATTAATTTATGTTGTCTTCCTTGGAGAAACAACTAAAATTCCTGTCTTTTAACACAGTGAAAATTGATAATTATCATGTTCGAATTGTTAAACATGCTGGGACAAATAGTTTAAATCCAGTATTTCTTAAGTTTTATCTGAAGATTTATTACAATAATTTTCATGTTTTATTTGGAGGAATACTGTTCATGCAATCCCATCGATAAAATAGTCAGTTCAGAAACTGTCATAGTACTTTTCAATTATCTTAGTGTACAAAAGAAACGCACTTCAGCTTAGGGCTGTATGGAGGTTTTCTCTCACTTATCTGCTTCAGTATAGCTGGACATTTTATATGTTTTCTGTTGGACATGATGCTCTGTTTGAAAATGAATCGTTGAGTTAGCTCATGAAATATATACAGTTACAAATATCTCTTCGTTCATTCAAGAAAAGTCTTGCTTGAAAGCTGAAAGAAGAATATATACCTGAGAGTATGTTTAATTTTGTAATATTTTGAAAATTGCACTTACAACATTGAGTTAAAACCAAGCAATTTTCATCAAACACCAATAAGGCAAGGCAATTTTCCCTCTCTTACAGCAAGTCAAGTACATGTGACTTACCTAGTGTTATTGTTCATTAACCCCACTTGGGGGGTGGGGGTGGAGTGTGTCTTTTCCTAACTTATGGATACTGCTTTTCTCAGGATCATAAAGAACTAGGTCATCTTTCGGCAGTTTTTAGTAACTTTCAACAAAGATTTGTTTAGCAAAATAAATCATGCTAAATTGTTCCTAGAGGTTCTGGTTGTGTACATGACTAAGAAAACTTGATAATGGACATAAACCTATATTTGAGAATGTTTCGGTGACATTGTAAATGGTGACCTTGTGAATGTGGGGGGTGTTCGTTTAAGATTTTGGGCCAAAGCATATAGTCCATGCATCTCGGAATATAATTTCATCTGTTATTTCTGAGAGATCGAATAAAGTCGTATCAACATTGTGGTACAAAAATACTTGCTGGATTCTATCGAATTTTTTTTAACATATAGAATTGGGTAGCATTAACTTAATCTCATTTCTTATTTTCTGAAAGTTTAAGAATATAGGAACACATAGGCATTACTAGTGTTAATTTTATAACAGGAGGTAGGTAGAGATCAATATAGCTTCCACAAAAAAAATTAAAAATTGAAAAATTGCATAGTGAATAGACATGAAAGGTGGCGTAGACATGCTTGGCTAAGCTTATTAGTTACTTTTAAGTAACTTCTTTTGCTAAACACGCCTGAGGTTTTTCAAAAGTGCTTTCATTTTTTTTTTCCTTCAATACAAAATTGTACTGTGGTAGTAAGTTTGCATTTTCTTTTTAAAGTTTGGCCAATAACAGCATCTCTCGTAAGTTTACATTTTCTTTTTAAAGTTTGGCCAATAACAGCATCTTATCACTCTAGAAGATCACACTTCTATCTTATATTTATTTTGTCTGCAGGAACAAATTTCGCTTCAAAATTTTTGTGGGCAAATGGAATTACACTCCTTAAAGTGCGGGAGGAAATTGTCAAATTACGTGGAAAACCTGATTTGTACTTTTTCAGTCCTGAGCATCCACCTTTAACTGAAGATGCTCAAAGGGCTCTTGATTGGGCTATTGATGAGAAGATTAAATCTGGTGAGTTTCCTCATCTTCACATTTTTAACTCGGTCTTCTAGAATATCTTTCTTATTTGTCATGAATTATAGTCTTTACCTTCATAAGAATGCATTTAGGGCCCATTTGGCTAATTTAATGAATGTACATTTTTTAATTAGAAGTTCATTTTGTGGAAGCTGGTTTAATATAGCTTCTTAAAAACACTTTCGGAATTGAAAACTCTTTTAGAAATTGGCTTAAAAAAGGGGGGTTAATGCTGCTTCCTCTCTTCTATAGGAAGCAAAACAAAAGGCATGCCAAACGGGCCCTTATAACGAGTTGATATTCTTTTTTAGCTTTGCATTTTCAGGACTATTTTTCTCGAACATGTAGGGGTTAATGTTTTAAATATTGAAAGCATTCAGTTTTGTGGTGGTTAATTTGTTTCCGTCAGATGTCGGAATCAGAGTCTTTGAAAGCATTGAAAATCTTAACTAGAGAAAGATAATAACAGTTAGTGCTTGTTTGTGCCCCATTATTTGTAAGTAATGTATTATGAAATAGTGATTGATGTTGAAATATGTGGTTAAAGAAGAAGGAAAAGTTTTTGATTTACGTCCAATATTATTTTAATGAGAATGTGTGATTGAAAATGAACACTGTAGAAAAAATAATGTGATAGAATGTGGAAAAATGGTAGACAAACAAAGCCTTACTATCACCAAGTTTGTTTCACCACTGGACGGTGGTCCAACATTGGCCAATTAAAGTCTGGCTAAGCTTAAAAGAGTAGTAAAAGTTCCTTTTTTGCTCCAAACATATTCACACGTGACTTTTTTTTTTTTTTCCTTTTCAGTACGTAAGAAGTAAAAAAGTTGCTGACTTGAAAGTAACTCTTACTTTACTATTAAAAGATGTGACTTACTTATTTCTAACTTAATCACTTAAAAGAATTATTTTATTTTTAAAACTTATTTACTTTTAAGCTTAGCCAAAACATATCTTATGAGCAGTGTCTATTCCTCACTAGTATATGGTATTAGTTTAAATATCAATCAGTACTCTGATTCTCTAATTCTACGAGGACAAAAAGAAATGCATGGAACGACGCAGTCGCCAAATTCTACAGCTCAAGCTCATGAAGAAATGAAAACTTGTTTATACTGTTCTTTCTTGACCACTATAGTGTACGAAACACGAATTTGAAGAATCTTTTGTACTGTTGCTTTTCCTACTCATTTTAGCAATTGCCCGCCCCCTCATTTTTGATATAAAATGCAGGCAACGACGGGGAAATTACTACTACTCATTTACTTCTCGGAGTATGGATGCAAGAAGAATCACCAGGATACAAAGTACTGACTGCACTAGGCTTCAGTAATGAGAAATCTAAAGAGCTTCATTCTTTGATATCCGAACCTGAATTTGTAGACTGAGAGTAGTTTCTTGTCATTCAATGTAGCTTTTCATGTAATTTTTTTCGACCCAAATCAGGTTGCCAATCCAGACCTTGTGTACAAATTTGGAGTATCGTGAGAATGTAACAGTCGTGTAAAAGTTTCTTTAGAATTGTTCAAGAATTTATGTTCATCCCATTTAAATAAGGTAATTAATAATTCTTTGGTACCTTTTATTTTTTTTGCTTTTAAATGAGATGACGGTATTAACTTTTAAGTGTTCAAGTTGATTTCTCAATAAAGAATGCGCAAACACTAAGCATCAAGTTACAAGCTTGTTTCCTTTCTAGCAATATAAAGTTTTAGGTAAGATAGTTTAAATGAAGTTTGTTTAGAAGCGTGCACGAGATTCACGTTCGTTGCATACTGTTGCAATATAAATAAATAGATAAATTATGCTAAATGTACATTCCAACTTTTACATTTTGTTTGACATTCCCTTTGTATTCAAAAAAATTGGGGAAAGGTTTTTTATTTTATCTTAATTTAAATTGTCCAATGGTATGTTACCACGTAACAACGTAAAGAATGATGTCAAAAAGGATGTATATAGCATGATTGTAAATTCTTTTATCCATTTAGTAATTTAAGTTTTAATGGTGTAACTTACATGTTCTCCATTAAGTCTCACCATCATATAAAGAATTTATGAAAAATGCCATGTAGCCTCTAATTAATTTAAAAGTATATATAAATAAAAAATTCTTTACGTTTTACTATTTAAACAAAAAATGGAGTGATTTGTTTAAAAATGAGTGAGTAGATTAGCTGCTACAAAACCAAAGCATTTCATTCACATATCAATTTACAAAGTTAGAAGATACAAACATCCTCTGATGACAACCACTACCCATCGAAGGAAATTTACACACTGAAAATAATGGTTATACGATGTACTAAAAATTCACTACACCAATTTTGGCTCTTAACGATGCAAAAACTAGGGACTTTCGTGAAAGAAACTTCATGAAATTGATCGATGCGCTTTAAACAAAACTCCGACTGAATAACAAGTAGCTGTTTTTCCATTTTTTTTTCCTGTCCCGAAGATGATCAGTGATCAACCTTGTCTAAAACATAATTTAAGTTGATTTACTGCACGAATTCCATGTAACTTTAGCCGTAGTCAATTCTCTGTCGCTTCAACTCGGCCTGGAAACTTGGGCTGGACTTTAAAGTTCGATATGCAAGAGTCCTTATGTCCTCTCGTGAACAATCTCGTGAGATACGAACAAGCTCCCACAAAGCACCTCCATTTATCATATCCTTTGTGTTGGCCTCTGAAATATAGCAATCAAAGCGTTAAAAGGCATGATAAATCTCAAAGTTTGAGTTTAGATGTTACAAGGTAGAGTAAAATGTACCGTGTTGTGCTAAATGACAAAGCGCTAGCTCAATGTGACGCCGGATTTGTGAGGCTTCATTGTTGGCATTCTGCACAATCCATGGAAGGGCTCCGTCTTCGATGAGGAGCGACTTCCCAGCTTTAATTCCTGCAATAACATGGCAATCACTTGTACTGGAATTTCATGCAAGTGTTATAAAAGCATGAAAACTGGATTTATGTAGTCCAAGTGCAATTTAAAGATAAAAACATAGACAAACTTATAAGGATTTGGACTACTCTTTTTAATAAGATTGACCTTTTAAAATGAAACCCCATGTTTTAACATAGTATCAGAGAGCTCCAACAAGAGATTCGATATGATTAAGATTCAAAAATATATTGAGCATACGAGTTTCAAGATTGATTTTCTCAAATGAACTACCATTTTGCGAGAGCATATTGAGGGATAAAATCCCATATCGAATAAAAATGAAAACATAGATCAACTTATAAGGATTTGAATTATTTCTCTTAATAAGATTGATCATTTAAGATGGAATCCTAAGTCTTAATACAACCTGTCTTGTCAAATCTGAAACGTCAGTTAACATGTTTGTCAAAACTTATAGTTGCTTATAAGTAGTAGGTTCCAAAGATCGAGTGGTTAAGAAAAAGGTAAAAATTGAGGCTCATAAGAAATTTGTGGATGAAAATAGAGTTTGACTAGCTTATAAACAATTATAAACTTTGACTAAATCAACATGCATGTTCACAAATGCCTGTGGTTGAAACCTGAAGACGAACCATCTGATATAAAAACTTGAGCTACTAAAGAAAGGGATTTTTATTTATTTATTCAAATTGTATCTTCCCACGTGCAAACCATTAAAAATAAAAAAAATAAAAAGCTACACAATTTTTTGCGAATGAGTGGTAGGTAGACTCGCGCCCAAGATCTTTCCATGCTTTTATATGATGAAGAATTGAAAGAGAACAATTCTAACCGTTTATCTGAATAACTGTACTATGGTATTTACAATATTCAAAAAAGAGCCAAAAATATCTAGATCACAACAAATATGGCTTTCAACAACATCAGACAGCTGTTTTGGATCTAACTGAATTAGCCTAAATGTCGAAATTCCCAAACTGTGGTTTATCTAAAGGTGCAACTCTTCTGGGCTACTAAAATTAGCTAGGCCTGGCACAGCCAGTCAAGCCTAGCAAATTTCGTTTTTTTTTTTAAATTTTAATTTAATTTAAAAAATTTTTTTTTAGCAGAGAAATTGATTTTTTTTCCTTTGGGGCTCCGCAGTGTCCAAGACCACACAATGCACGGCTCTCTGTGAATAATCTTTTGGCCCGTGTCTATTCCTTTCTCGTTATTTTTGAAAAAGAACAGCCTATGCTGACAATAAAGTCATGGGCCAATGCCCCCTGGAAAGTGCTTGTTTAGTAGTGTTTACAAGTTGCGGACCCCACAAAAAGTGTGGATAATAAGTGAGTAGTAAGATGTATGCCTGTGTGAATAAAAAGTATGCTTGGCCAGTTTAGATTATAATATAAGCTTTGTCGAACATGTTTTTAGATGCGTGGGTATATTAGACGATAAAAAATGTTTTAATAGTACATAACTTCTTGCAAGAATCAGCAGAATTCTCAATTGCTGACTATAATGAAGAAAAAGAGCCTAAATATGCATGCATAATTATGGGATACAAGTACTGGTTTTGTTTGGCACGTGTGAAGGTGCATGGATGGGTTTATAAGAGATTCACCTTGTGTGGATATTGCTCTCGACTCACATTTAGCAAAGTTTGCAATTCCACGAGCTACTTGAGCAAGGACATCTGGATGCCTACAGCTAACCATTCCCAGCAAGGCCATGATGCCACCTTCTGCTCTTAACTTCACTTGTAACTTATCTGTGAATATAAAATAGATGATGGTAATGAAAAAATAACAAAAGGAATGAATGGTGGTTCCACTTTACAGATGGGTCCCATAAACTTCAAAGAGACACGTAGTCCATGGTAGCAATTAGCTTTCAAAACCAGTCTAATAAATTAGGAAGATGCTAATTGGATTGATCAAGTATAAAACTATAATCCTTACTCGAGAGCAATCATGAATTAAAAAAAATAAAAAAATATGAAAAGCATATATATGCATAGATTTAATGTGCTTCATCCTCAATGTGAGATCTACGACCACTTTTTGTCAGAACTTCTTTATTTAATTAACTTATGTGGAATTCCTATGACTTCTACAACAAAAGAAAAGGACCAAATCCAGAAAATAAAATTATTGAAATGACCTATCAACTTACCATTGCCGCAAAGGTTTGCAATGGCTCCAGCAACCATACGTAGTGTTTGAGGATCTTCTGCATTGGCTGCTGTGAACGATAACAAACTTATTCCCCCTTGAGACATTATGAGCTCCTGATTGGTTTCTGTTTATCACCGAGAATCAAATTCATAAGCAAATGACACTAAGATATCAACCCTGTACCTAAATCATTTCAGTCCAGCTAATGACATATTACCATTCATTGCAAGATTAGCAATTGCCCCTGCTGCAACTCTGTGAATGGTCTCATCGTTGGAACTTCTCAGGAGTGTCAGCAACGAGGTAAGACCGCCAGCTTCAACAATCTTTTCCTGATTTGTCTCTGAAAATTATAGGAGAGAGTAATAAATGATCTTAGTAGAATGAAAGCTATACTTGTAGCAACCTTCAAAATAACCTTTGTTGACAGCAAGTCGACAACTCATTCAGACCTTTATTAAACCTATGCATGGAGACCAGTTATTTAATAATTTACGTAAATACAGCAGAAAGAACTGTGGGGTTCCCGAGTACCCTTTATATCCGTCAGTTGAAAAAGCCAGATTCATATATTTTCTCTACTCTAATTGAAATGTCCAAGTGAACTGATAAAGATTTTAAACAAAATACTACTCCATTGACAATATGAAACGTGATATGACAGCGCAACATGCCGTTTGATTTGGGTTTTAAAGTTTAAATTATTACTGTTTTGGTTGGAACATTCATTAGTGATAGCGCAGTCCCCTTTAGCTTCTTATGTTCCCCATTGGGAGTACTAAAATTTTTCCCCAGTTTTCTTCAATATGACGATTCACTAAATTTTGCTATGTTCCAAAGGATTCAAGGATACAGCCGGTGCAAATCATGTCCGGTCATAAGGCTCCAGGCCACGTGCTTCTAAAGTGGGAGAAAGTACATTCAATTTCTTTTGAACACGAATTCTCCTTGTTCCGGTTGGTTAGGAATTGTTGTTTCCACAAACTCAGAAAAGAAAAGGTGCTTTAAACAGCTTGAACCTGCCTAATCTAACGGAGTTACTGCATTTTCATGATATGCAGCAACTTTGTTTCAATTCTTAAAACTGAGTCAAATAGTTCAAGTTGAAAAAGCTCCCAAAACACCATTTCTGGTAAACCTAATAAATGTAACTAAATATTGTTGAACACGAACACAGATAAAACAATGTGGAAAATAATAGAAGGTAGGTGATAGAAGCTTAAGATTAGCACCTTCTGCTGCCAGATTTGCCACTACTTTAACAGCATGAATACGTACGTCAGCATCGTCTGCTTCAAGTAACGACAATATTTTGTGCAGTCCTACTGTTGCAATGCAGTACATAGCAAAAAATGATCACATAGAAAACACATAATACGGAAAAAAAGAGTTGTGAATATGTTTGAATAAGCTTAAAAATAAGTAAAAGTTACTTCTTTTTTTTGGTAAAAGTTGTCTATTTACTTAAACTTGAACTTTCTAAGCTTATTCAAAATGCTCATAGTCCATCACCTTGTT